TTTTCACCTTGATGAAGATAAAATAAAGTCCGAATTTTTTTTTCATAATAAAGAACATTACATTAGCTTTAATTTAAGATATATATAAAAGTTTCTTCAGACCTTCCGGAACATTTTCAAAATTTAAGTTAAAAAAATTAATTTTTTGTGAAAAAGTTGTCATTTTAAATCCCCCCTTGTGGGCAGGTTAAGGGTTAAATTTATGAAAAAAATATACCAAACGAAAGATAATGACATTACACATCTATATAAAAAAGAATTAAATTAAAAAATATTATTTCTCATGAAAAAATTGTACTGATCCATACATTTTTCAAAAAGTTATAGTATAATAAAGTTAAAAATGTAAAATAGAAAATCGAAAATTTTCGCACAATAATAGCATTTTGTAGCTATTTTCACCGTGAAGATAAAATAAAGTCCGAAATTTTTTTTTCGCATAATAAAGTAAATTACATTAGCTTTAATTTAAGATATATATAAAAGTGTCAGACTTTCCGGAACACTTTCAAAATTTAAGTTGAAAAAGTCAATTTTTTCTGAAAAAGTTGTCATTTTGAATCCCCCCCTGTGGGCAGGTAAAGGGTCATATATAAAAAAAATATATACCAAATGATAGGTAAAGACATCATGCATCTATAAAAAAAAAATTATATTGATCCATACATCTTTCAAAAAGTTATAGCATTATAAAGTTAAAAATATAAAAAAGAATTTTTTTACAAAAATCGTATTTTTTTTTATTAAGTTTAATGTCTGTTTTCACCATGAAGATAAAATAAAGTCCGAATTTTTTTTTCATAATAAAGAACATTACATTAGCTTTAATTTAAGATATATATAAAAGTGTCAGACCTTCCGGAACATTTTCAAAAGTTAAGTTGAAAAAGTTAATTTTTTCTGAAAAAGTTGTCATTTTGAATCCCCCCCTGTGGGCAGGTTAAGGGTTAAATTTATGAAAAAAATATACCAAACGAAAGATAATGATATTACACATCTATATAAAAAAGAATTATATTCATNGGAGCAAAAAAAAAAAAAAAAAAAAAAAACACATCTTAGTAAAACCAATACCTTCTCAGCTTCGCATCGAAGCTAAAAATGTATTTTGTAAAATGTTTGAAATTTAAATGAAAATTAACCGTGCAAATAGGTAAGGGAGGGAGACACTGTAAAGTAGAAAAATAGCAATTTCAATAGAATAAATTTGGGTAAAATAGCAAGTACAATAATATAGGAAATCAATATTTTTTAATGGCTTGGTATGTATGATTAGTGAATCATTCAGTTGCCGTTTCAGTTCTGATGTTCAAATGCGTTGTTTGCTGTTATTCCCGGATGGGTGACCATACGGGAACTTACTCAATTGACACACACCTTGCCCTCTTTCTGGTTCCCTTAGCCATAACGAGGTTGTGTCAGGTCGACAGCAATTGTAAAATTGTGTCAAATCATTGTAGGTTAGAACTGATCCGAAATAATTGGAATAGATACTAAGTGGATGATGATGGTAAGCTTTAAAGTATTATTTGTTCGGCGATTTTAGTAATTTTAAAGCTCTCGGAATCAAATGAAAAATTTAAAGTTTGATTATTATAAGCAAAACTATATGTTGGCAATTATGATCAAGAGTATAGATCCCACGAAATACTGATATAATGAAATTACAAATTCTTTTTTATCTAGGGAGGTAATAAAATTTTGCTTATATACACGAAAATAACTAGGTATAATAAGCTATTCTAGTCCTATAAATTTACTGAAAAATTTTATTTTAATAATTTATTTTAGCTATAAATGAACAGTCAAATGAAGTTTTTGAATCTGATGACAAAAAAGATTTAAGGAGCGTTTTAGTGTATGTTAGAAGTAAATCATCTAAAAAGTCAGTGTCTTGGAAACAAGAAAGTGATTTAGTTCAGGTATCATTCTTTGAGCATGATGAAACTGAACGAGGTAACTTTTAATTTAATAATCAATTCATCATTTTATAAACTTAAATATTTTATTTGTTTTAGTAAATGTTACAAAAAATTTCAAAGCAATGGAAATGCAAGAACGTGATATTGAAAGACAAAATTTCCTTGCTGTTCGTAAACTAAGTAAGATGAATGTTTTAACAATATAATAAGGACTTGGTGTACTTTTCAGTATTATTCCGTAAAAATTAAATTATTTATTATTTACAATAGTTTTATTTCTTTAATTTTAAGTGATGGGATATTAATATTTTTTTTGTATATCATGCTATTAATTACAAAATTATGAAACATTTATAATAAGAATTATTACAATAATAATAAAAATGATTTTTATTTTCAGACAATGCTGATATTATGGAACCTAAGACTCCTTGGCGATATTTAGATGATCTTTTGCTAGTAGATGTTGTAGAAGAGCCTGGTAAAGAAAAAATTGAGCCTGGTGGAGGAAGCCAGGAGAAAAAGAAACAGACACTTAGAGAGCAATCAGTTTTACAAGCCATTTACTTCAATAGAAAAATGTAAATATATGCATTAAAAAAAATCAATTATATTTATTGCTAAAAGTATTATGGCCTGGAAAGCTTAATATGAAAACATTGTGCTTTAATCAATATTTAGGTTTTTATTCTTCTTTATCTTAAGCTATAACTACTAAAAATTTATGTTAAAACTAATTTCAAATAGAAAAAAATTATCTATTTATTTTTAATTTATCTTGTATGATACTCATTATTTATTTAACCTATTAAAAACAATAAATCTTAAGAGATGGTTTCTCAACCTCATTTAGTTGAGGATGATTATGATATCTTATATCTGTATAAATAAATAAATAAAGGGATAGTTAATTTTTTTTTTATTGTGTAAATGTTATTTGACTTTCTTTTCTAATTGTTAACAATATTGCGTAATAAATCTTAAATCATATGTTAAAAATTAGGATACCCGATTCACCTGAAGAACCTGATCAAATGGAGATAACTCCATATTCAGAGTCGCTGAACATACCATTAGAAGATATGACAGGAGATGGTACAGCACCAACTTATGATTATGTGAACACTCCATGGCCAGAACCTAAAGGAGAACAGCCAACTACAATTGATTTCCAAATGGATATAAATAATATAATGCCAATGCCTCCAAATTTGATGATGCAACAACCACAATTTCCTGTACAGTATAATAACCCAGTAAACTGGAATATGCCTCCTGTCAATTTAGGAATGGGAATGGGTCCTCCAACCAATAATATGTTTAATATGCCTAGTCCAATAATGATGAACAATCAAAATATGTACATGGGCGACCAAATGCCACCACAACCAATTTCACAACAAAATCCTCATAATCGTCTACCTCAAATGCAAGAAGAACAGTGGATGGGACCTGAGCTTTCTGGACCTATGCAACATGACCAACATTGGGGGCAACAACAGCCTCCGAATAATAATGGCCCTCCTCACTTCGAAAGAGGAGGTGGTAGAGGGCATAATAGATGGGATAATCCTAGAGGTGGTAATAACTACAATGACTCATACCGAGGTAAACACATTAATCGAAATATGTCTAGAGGTAATCGAGGTAGCTTATACAATCGACGAGGAGGTCATATGGGTAATGGAAGATCTAATGGTCGTCTATGCAAGTATTATGCAAAACAGGGTTTTTGCAAAACTGCAAATTGTGCATTTTTACATTCAAAAAACTAAAAACTTTATTTAATTGTAATTATTATTATTTTTTTATTTGCTACCAAATAAGACTGAATAAAATAAGCGTTATAGTTGTAAATCTTTCTAGACACCAATAATCTTGATTTTAATCAACTGACAAAATCAGTGAAATACTGACTCTTCATAACTTATTAATTAACAAGTATTTTATGGATTGATTTTGGTAGTTAATATTTCATCATAATTTGACTTAATTTTTGTATTGTATAAAATAGCTTGAATAAGTAATCATTGTAATATTTAAATTAATGTTATTTATTATTAAAATTAAACAAATTTTTATTTAATTGTATATAGTTGAATATATTGTTGTATTAGTTATTTTTTAATTGAATGATTAAAGATATTATTTTTGAAACCACTTGGGTTTCAAATATTTTATTGATTGATAACTATTGTATAAAAACAATAAATATTATATTTTCAATGGTAATAATAAATTGTTAATAATTAAAATATATTTTTGAAATTTTATAATTCAATTAAGTTATTATAATAATATTTGAGTTTATATAAACCATTAAATACATTTAAGAATGAAGTATAATAAAGTGGTTAACTAAAGATTATTTAAATATAACTTAAAAATAATTTAATTATTAAATAAACATTCAATAACACATAACATTTTCACAATTTATAAAATATTTTAACACCATATTAAAACAAAATTTAAATTTAAAAAAAACAGTTGCAAGTAACAAAAAACATTTCATAAAAATATATTTGTATTTTATATATAGTGTATCACCAAGTTTTGACATCTTTTATAATATTTCATTTAGCAAATATTTTGTTACTTCAATTTTTTAAATAATTATTACAATTTTTTCAAAATTTCATAATTTTTTTTTTATTTTTAACTCTTTTCTTACAATAGAATTAATTTTTATTTTCTTATTGATGACAAATAATAAAAAATATGTATTTAACATAATCCAAAACTAAAAATTATTAAAAAAAAAAAAAAAAGTAATGTAGAATATTTGTTAGATTAAAAATTATCAAAAATATTAAAATCTGGGAGATATATATATATATCTAACATGAAAAATAAAAAAATTATTTTTTAGTTGATTGAATACCAAGTTCTGATATTAAAGGTAATACATCACATTCTTCGGGTGTTGAATTAATCCAATTATTTACCTTTAAATATAAAAGAAAATAATTGTCAAAATATAAAATATTTCTTAATGCTTTATATACAAAGTGATTATTTTAAAACTAGCCATTGAATTCTTTGGCTTTTGTTAATAACATATACAGTAGCGGTCAAAATGATGAGACACCCCCAAATTTTATATTTCACGTGTTTAGATTTTGAGGTTTTACACAATTTAAAACATTTTAAAATATCAAGTAAATGAATGAACCTTTATTCTTTATATAATGCATTCATTAAATAAAAAGAAAACAGCTTATTTTGCATTAGTTCCATTTGAAACTTAACTTACTGGCAATTACTATATTGATTTATTTAACTGTTTATAAGTTCAATTATTTAGTATAAAGTTGCCCCTCCATAAGCTTAATAGCAATCTTGAACTCATGCTATAGATTCTCCAAGTTTCTCATAGTAAATTTGTTTTAAATTTTGACAAGCAAGAGCTATATCTTTTTTTAACTCATTGAGATTGCGCACATGTTTATCATTGATCATTCTTTCAATCTGATTGCAAGCATTTTCTATTACATTGAGGTCTAGGGAATGGACAGACCATTCCAAAAGAGGAATTTGGTGGTCACTTATCCATTTTGAAATTTTCTTGGATGTGTGACATGGAACGTTATCTTGCTAGTAATGACAAATTATGCGTCTTTCGAAAACTTTTTTTTAAAAGTAAGCATATAATCTTCCATAATATGAATGCATTTGTCACTATTCACTGTACCGTGTACAAAATGCAATTTCCCAGTTCCTTTTCCTGACGGGCAATCCCAAACCATTATAAAACTGCCGCCTTTCTGCACATTTGTAGCAAGACGAATGCTATTATATTTCTCTTTACTCGTGTGACTCAGTTAAAATAACTTAAAATATACGTTTTCATGTGATTTTTACCTAGCAAAATGAAAAAATGAACTTATTTGACAGAAAATTACATAAAAATAACTAATTTCACATTCTTAAAAATTCTCATTATTTGCCTGTGTTTTGAATATTTTTAACTGGATCGACTTGAAAAATATTTTTCATCAAACTTCATTATCCATATAACACATAGAAAAAAAAGTTGGATGTTAGTAAAAATTTTTTTAGGAAGCTTTTAAAATAATTTAATGACTAAAATTTCCATGCATTTACTTGATTATTTAAAATGTTTTAGATTGTGTACAACCGCTAAATCTAAACACGTGAAATATAAAATTTGAGTGTGCCGTATAATTTTATCTACTACTGTATATCTCTATCTATTAAAATTTTTTTTTTCATGTTTTAAAATTATATTTTTTTAAAAAAAATTGTATGAACAAAATTGTTTGCAAATTTTTTTTTTTTATCATATTATCAATTAGAATTTTTTTTATTTAACAATATTTTTCTTTTCAAAAATTAAAAAATTTAAATTGTTTGTACAATGTTATTCTTATAACCTAGTCACTCTATTTCTTTAAAATAATTATGTATAAAGAAATTCTTTTAGTATTTTTTTAATACCAAAATTATTATATAATTATATCCTAATATTTTATAAGGGTGTCATATTTATTTTTTTTAATTACAATATATATATTTAACTAAGTTATAAAATAAAAAGGTGATCTAACTATGAACAGGCACGTAGACATGGGTGGGTCTGGCCCCCTTTAGATTTAATGTGACCCAGGGCCGGACCCCCTCAAATTTAAAATTCAATTATTTTTACCAATTATCAATAACGTGCTAGGCCTTACATACATTGAAATTATTATTAATTTGTGATTACTATTGGGTAATACAGTTATTATTATGGCTATATTTTCATTTTTATATTCATAGAAAGCGTTATTTGAAAAAGATTTCGTTCTAGACGTAATAATAAATGGAATAGCAGTTACTGCAAACGTGGTGTAGGTAAATTTTTTTTAACTCTGATCCAACAAATGATAACAAACTACCAAGTATCTGCATTGATTAGAATCTAGTTGATTACAAAATTTTATAGAGTAATACTCTATGAAAATATTTTTGATAAATCTTATCTTTAATCTGTTTCTTTTAGCTTCGATGCGAAGCTGAGAAGGTATTGGTTTTACTATGATGTGTTTTTTTTTGGGTGTCTGTTACCACTTTTTCTAAGCTCCCACCAAACCGATTTCTTTCAATGATACGTCAAAAGATCACAAATCGTATCTAGTCGAAAAAATTACCCTCAAAAATTGAAAAATTTTCCCTCGTTCCTCGTAAATGGGGAAACCTCCAAAAAATTACAAATTTAAAAATCGTTAATTTTCGAAATTTTTTCAATTTTTTTTTACTAAAAGCTGCCATAACTTTTTTAAAAATGAACATATCAATATAATTTTTTTTTTTATAGATGCTTTAAAATTACTATAAAAATTACGATTTTTGTAAAATAATTCTTTTTTATATTTTTAACTTAATAATGCTATAACTTTTTGGAAAATGTATGGATCAGTAAATTTTTTTTATTTATAGATTCTTGATATGTTTACTTATCATTTGGTATATTTTTTTTGTAAATCTGACATTTAACCTGCCCACAGGGGGAATTTAAAATGATAACTTTTTCACAAAAAACTTTATTAACTTGACTTTTGAAAATGTTCCGGAAAGTCTGACACTTTTATATATATCTTAAATTAAAGCTAATGTAATGTACTTTATTATGCAAAAAAAAAATTCGGACTTTATTTTGTCTTCACGGTAAAAATGGCTACCAAATGATATTATTGTGTGAAAATTCTCGATTTTATTTTTTACACTTTTAACTTTATAATGCTATAACTTATTCAAAAATGTATGGATCAATACAATTTTTTTATGAGATATAATATTTTTTAATAATCCTTTTTTCATTCAGGATATTAATAAAAAATTAGCAGATCATGTAGCTTTTGGAACAATTCAACAATTTTTTAAAATTAAACACTGTAAAGATTTGTATCGAAGCGTTTTTTTTGATAATGATTATAATCACTGTCAGATATCATTATACTTGATCCAACTATACCACGTCACCACTGTGCCGCGACCCACCTGTGCTGGTTTTTTTTAATTATAGGTACCGTCCATTTTTTATAATACAGCAATAATTAGTATACTTTATACGAAAACAATTTGTTTTTAACCAACCAATGGTAAAATTTTGAACTTGTAAGATTCATAATATGGGATACTGTCTAAGGAGGAGTGGAAGGAGCCCTCCACAAGCTTTTCTTGGGAAACAAATTATGGAAAATGATACAAGGGCTCAAAATTGTTGGCCTCTCCAATAAACATTTTCTGGCTATGTGCCTGACTATGAAAATGACTGGTTGATAACTTTTTGACCAGTATTTTAAAATTTATTATCATTTTAAAATAAACTTTAGTCAAGGCGTGGATGGCAATATATTAATAATAATAATAATAATAATAATAATTATATTTATATATATTTTTTAATTATATAATATTTATCATTAAATATTTCTCGGGTGCACCTTTCCCCACCTAGATATAAAAATGTTATTAACTTGAAGCCCAATAGTTGTTATCAGCCAGCAATTTTTTTAACTAAATCATTTTTTATTTATAAGCTAATTAAATATGTATGTTAAAATTAAAATTGACACATTCATAAGGTATATAAGGGATAAATGTAATTAATAATTGATAAATCGAGAAAGATATGAAATATATGAAACTAAAAACAAAAAATTAATTTTCTTAACATAATATTATTTTAAATGAAAGACAGGTGCTAGTGTTACAAGAATCATCGTGTATTATATTTATATATATATATACATACAAATACTTTTCAGTATGTAACAGGGGTCTAAAATTATTAAGATAATAATTGGTTCTCAGTACATTATATTTTTCCTACTAGATAAAAATACCCAAGTACAAAAATGTCTAATACAAAGTACAAATTATTTAATTACTTACATTTACTTTTGACTCTTTATTAGAACTTTGCAATTCTGAATCAATAGTTTGAAGTTTGCTCTCTGAAAATTTGTTTTTACTTTCACAAAGAGATTTTGTTTCTGATAACGAAACATTGATAAATGGTACATTTGGAGTACCAATTGTGAATTCAACAGAAGTTGGTGAACTTGATGACTTTATGGAATGTTTATCTCTCTCTTCAATTAGTGGCATAACAACTACATCAACTTGATCAGGAGTAGTAACAGCTGTAGCAGCAGCATAATGAGGAGCTGGCGAAGAATTCTGTTTTAATAACTGGTTACTAGGGACTGGACTCTAAAAAAACATTTATCATCAACAAATGCTTAAGATAATTATATACTTAAAAAATATTCAGTTATTTTCTTATATTGTAATTCATTACAATAATAATTAATAGTCATAAAAATTTTATAGGAAAAATATAACTTTCTTATATACAAGTTTAATTTACTGGTATGACCAATATTAAATTAAAAATGTGAAGTCTAAAGGATATTAATACCTTAGGATATTAAGGATACCTAATTATTTTCATTTTGTAACTAATAGTGGTTATTTAACATTAAAGGTACTTAGACAGTTTAGCATCAAGAAGTATAAATTTAGTGGTACCAAAACAATATTAATAAAAGTGTAGCAAAAAAATAAATACCAACCATTATATTTTTTCATTTATATCACTTCATTAATTTTTATCAATTCATTCAGTTCTATATCATAGGCATAACTAAAATAAAAAATTTTAGAGGTAATGATTATATTTTTTCCAAGCCAAAAATACTATCATATAACAATAATCATTATTTTTTAAATTTTTGAGTTGCCAAATTTGTCAACTGAAAGGGATTCCCTCATCTAGTCCCCCACTAGTTGAACCAATGTCTTAAATAGATATAAGTTTAAAATTGTATTAATTATTTATTTTAAAAATGCAAATATGTATTATTGCCTAAAGAAAAATATAGAAAATTTAAATAAAATGGAAATCTACCAGAAATCTTAATTCATAAATTGATAACTTTATATTTATAACTGTGTATTAACCAATCCATAACATAAATTTTTAATTAAAAAATAAAATAAAAAATTACAAATAGCCAGGCCTGAGGATGATATGATCCTGATGGTATGGATAGTTTTCGCATTTGTAATTCAAGGTGATTTGTTGGTATAGAGTTGTGCCGTACGGTACCTAAAATATAATGTAAAAATTATAAAAAAATTAATTAAGTTTAAGAAAATAAAATAAATTTTAATTTTATAAACTTAATTAACTTTTACAGAAAAGTCAAAATTTTATGCTTAAAAAATGATTTTACAAAATAAAGATTTTTATGCTATATTCTAACTTGGTAACCATTTTTTTCTCTTTTTATATTGATGTGACACATTATTCCATCATACAGAGTGATTCTTTTAATAGTAGACACTCAATTTCTCTAAAAATATTAAGTTGTATGGCTTGTTTAATATATTATGACTTACATTGTTGTTTCTCTTGTAACATGATAATATCAAATTGTTTTAATACTTGTTCCATATCAGGACGATCTTTAGGTCTATAGCTTACACAATTTTTGCCCAGAGAAATAAAGCAGGGAAACATATTACTATCATCTGGTCCAGCTTTGGTGTCTATTAATTCAATTGAGTTATCATAATTTTCCACGTATTCTTTCTAAAATAATAAGTGTAAGTGTATAAAAAGTAATAAGAAGAAGCTTAATATTTGAACCACACATTAATAAAATATTGATTTATAAATATTCATAAGACATGAAAAATAATAATTATTACATAATTATAGATAATTTACTGAAAATTGTGGGAAAATCATTTTTAAATGATCAACCCTCTTATTAACATATTTCTCTTTATCATTTCCTGTTTATATAACTATCTTCAACATAATATTTAAATATTCGTTTAAAGATAATATAAAATTTAATAATTATAAAAATATAATCTTACCAAAAATTTATCCTTTCTAGAACTATCATATGCTCTTTGACCAGTAGCAATTTCAAATAATACCTGTAAATTATTTTGTTATGACAATTTAATGAAAAATTATTAAGAACAGTATTTTAAATTATAAATAATAAATGAAATAAAACATTTATAGTATGTTTTATTTCAATTTATTTCATTGTTATATTAAAAAATCATAAATAAAACTGTGTACATAATATAAAAATTACAATTCAAAGATATGAACGCTGATTAAGGGCTAAGTGCAATATATTTTACTCCTGGAAATTATCTTATGAATGATTATATTCAAAGGTGTTAAAGATATAGTTAATCCCAAAATTATAATTTTACAATTTTTATAAAAAAAATCTGGATTTTAATTTTTTTTTATTGTAAAATTATAATAGTAATAATAATAATAATTTATTAAATATTGTATTTATAAATAATATAGAATGGTATGAGTTTGTAGGAAGGACTCCATAAATATCAAGAAAAATCATAGTATATAATAAAATTATTTTTTTACAATAAAAAAATAAATATTGCCCCTATTTGCCTATATCTCTGTATATGACATAATGATGATGAAAAAAAAAGTTTTTACTATATAGATTATACAGTAAAAGTTAATTATCCAAAAAATTATTTTTAGTTACTTTAAAAGATTAAAAAAGCAAAATATATTTTTATTTTTTGAACCACCTCAATATTATATTATAATCTGTTATCATTGGTTAAGCAGTAATTACATTTTATTTCAATAATATATAATAATTACAATAATTCAAGGTTAACAAAATCTCATGAATTACTAAAAAAAATTTTGAACTACATTATTCTACATTTTTTTAAAATTTATTTCAAAGTTTTTAGGACTTTAAATAAAAGTAATTATTTCTTGCATAATGTGACATAAAATATTTAGCTTGAGATAATGTAGCTTGAAGCAAAAAAATTAATTAATTCATATTTTTGTAACTTTTTTTTAATTAATTTTTTTATCATCATTTAACATATAATGATATAATTTAACATATTATGGAGATAATGATGTTTAAGTTAAAAATATTTTCTTTTACCATATTATAAAAAAAATTAATGGTAATAATAATAAATAAAAAAAAATTATTATTAAACTCAACTAAGATGCCTATATACATTATATAAATATAATAATGTATATTAATTTATTACTTTGAATTATTATAATAGTGATTTGATACAATTACTTACCACACCAAAACTAAAAGTATCAACTTTAGTAGAAAACTTTTTGCCTCTTAAAAATTCATCTGGAAGATAAGGTCTTGTACCATGAACATGGCTTACTTTAACATGAGTATATTGCTGTAGTGGGCCTTCACGAGCTAAACCAAAGTCACCAATACGTGGCTCAAAATAAGGATCCAAAAGAATATTTGCACTAAAAAAGAAAATATTTTTACATTACCATCTTCAATTTTTATTTTAATCTATATATTCTAACAATCTAGCTATACCTTTTTATATCACCATGAATTAACACCATACTGTGTAAAAACTGTAATCCTCTTGCAGACCCAGTTGCTATTTTATAACGTTGGCTCCATGTTAATGGTTTGGTTCCTTGCTATAAAATACAATTTGATTATTTAAAATAGTCATTTAACAATGTTATAAAAATGTTATCATAATTTTTGTATACTTTATAAAATAAAATATAATTTTTCAAAACAAAATTTCTTTTATGATAAATATTCATCATTTAATAATATTATTATACAGATTTAAACCATTAGACTTGTTTTAGTTTTTTGTAATTGAAAAATTCTTAAACGACTCAATATTTCACAAATGATCTACATTAATGTGTATCTACATTATATGTGTACATATATAAATATATAAGTGGGAAATACAATAAGCAACCACAGGAACAGAGCAAAGACACAATACTATAACTTAAAACATATATATTTATTCACACGCAAAAGTCCTATTAAATATTCATATACAAAAATAACATATATAAACCAAAATACACATATGAATTAAAATTCACACAAAAACACGTCTTAGCCGACTCAAAACTTAATTTAATTTTACCTTCTTATAATACTAACTATATATAACTATCTGCCTCCAGACCCTGGAAGTGTTGCCATCTAGACACCAATGATACCCATATATATATATATATTTTATATTAGGGTGGATCAAAAAAAGTCGATCATTAAAATTTTAATAAGAACCATTTTAACTTTATTATATACATTAAAATTTGCATTTTGTGAAAATTTGAGGTTCTTTAAAAATTTTACTAGTTGCTCAACGGGTTTTTAAAATTTTTTCCAAAAAACGGTTTTTGTTATTAAATTTTTGGCTAAATACTATGATTAGTATATCAAAATAATTTTTTATCAATCAATTCATTTATATGAATTAAATTTAATTAATTTATATTATTATTTTAGCGTTCTCAGTTTAACTAGGCTGTGCAAAGACAGTATCTAATGATTTCAGAAATTTAAATTCTTTTCTATTTTGAACAGTAGTATTTTTTTTTAACTTTGTATAAAAAAGTGTTATTTGTGATAATGATTTTACATATAAGTGTTATGGGGCTGTCGGTTTTGATCACAACTATATTAATGGCTAAATACAGACTATATTATATTAAATAAATAACTTCAACTAATAATAATGATACACTATTACAGCTCTAACATATTATGAAATTTTATATTTATACTACCAGAATTTCATCTGATTTATCATCATTTTCGTGTTTTCTCAGTTATTATTGTTAACCCAATCCTATTCAAAATTATTTAGTACAAGTGGCTCTAACTTGTTCTAATCTAATTTTAAAAACCAATTTTTGAATAACACAAATCAATTTTGTTAGACTGGACTAATATGATAAAAGTTTATGGTTGATATAACTGATTTGATTATTTAAAAAAAAACCAATGACACAAACAACTAGAAAAATTCCAACATAACCTGATTTTAGGATGGGTTTGATTGCCCACTAAGGGCTCTAGTGTGTATTAAAATGTTCGTCACTCAATAAGTACACTTGTCCTAACATTTTTATCAACCTATTTAAATTTTTTGTAAGAAAAGAGTTACAAAAGGGCTATTTTGAAATGTTGAAAAAATTAAGAAATAAATTTCTCTATATATAGAGTGTTCAGTAGGTAAGGAAACAAATTTTTATTGATCTTATTGTTTGTAACAGTTGACCTATTTCCTTACTTACTAAACAATCTGTATATATTTTTTCTTATTACAGAGAAATAATAAAATATGCTCTTATCACAGTATTAAAAATCCAAATTTATTAAAATATTAAATTACATCAAAATAATTATTGGATAAAAATTAAAAGAGTTGTCAGTTAGATCTTTTCCAACAGTTTATATACAAAGTAATTAAAATCTGATAAGACTTATTTTATTAGAACTATTAGAAAGGAAATTTTAAATTTTTGTAAAGAGAAAAAATATCAGTTTCCAAAAACTCTACAAAAATAAGTAGTTACATAGTTTTTTTGTTCCTTCAGGAAAAAATGTTTAATTATAATTTTTTTTTTAATGGGAACCCCTATTTTTTAACTTCATAATATAATAGAAAGACAAATTACAAACAATTTTGTTCCTACAATATTTTTATCTGATCAACTGTTTGTATTTTACAGATGGTTTGAAGAATTCGATGTTAAGTAAAAATTATCATTTATTTGGTTTTATAATACTAGTCAACTAGAATGATTGCTACCACCATGTCATCATTAATTTGTTATGATAGTCTATTCATTTTTTTTATAGTAATTATCAACAAAAATTTTCTACACCCGTTATCAAAATGAGAGATAATAATAATGTATTGTAGCTATTCAAATAGATTATTGTTGTCAATGATATAATAAAACCAAATCATTGATGAATATTTCCTTAATATACAAATCTTTAAACGATCTTTAAAAATTATAAGAACAGAGTTGTTTGTAATTTTTCTTATATCCTACATATATATATATATATGTGTGTGTATTTTTCCTACGTAAAATGTAAAATAAAAAAAAGTATAAAACTTATTACTCGACATTGTAAACGGTCTTCTAATGAACCATTAGGCATATATTGATAAACTAAACAAGGTTTTTCACCACCAATACTGAATCCATAGAGAGACAATACATTATCATGTCGACATGAGTTCAAGTATTTCAATTCACGTAATGATTGTTGACGTTGAGCTTCTAAAACATTAAATTCTTGTTCAGCTCCTTTCTAAATAAAAAAAAAAATTGATAAATGAACAAACTCAAATTTTGTATTTTAAAAAATAAATTACCTGAGCTTCAAGTCGTTTAATAGCTACAGCAGTATTTTTCCAAATACCTTTAAAAACTACTCCAAAACCTCCTTTTCCCAGTATATTTGTCTTATTCCAATTATTTGTTGCTTTTCCTAATTCATCATAAGTTATCAATGGTGTGCATGCCTCAGCTGAGGATAACATAGTTGAAGGATCCAAATTCTTCTCAATTCTTTCATCATTTACATTTATATATTGTTGATTTAAGTTAACATAATTTTTTTTCTTTAGACTATTAGAATTTAATGTAATATGATTGTCATCAGTCCGACTCTAAAAGATTAATTTATTTCAGCACTTTATTAAAGCTAACATGCCATTATATTTAAATATAATGATAATGTTATAATCATAGAAATTGGATGAGGGAGCAAGGAGACACAACCCCCTCAGTTTATAAAATAACCCTTTCAGAAATTTAGCAAAGTAATCTGCAATGTTATACAAATATATTATTTTAAAGGAAGAAATATTAAATAAACCTTAAAAAATGTTACTACCTATAACTATGCATGTGATAAAATTTATTAACATTTTACAATAGTATTATTAGGAGACATTGATTTTGTAAAAATTTTTAAATTAAAGATTTACAGATTATGCTTCTTTATATTTAATACAATTGAATAGTATACTACTCATATATACTCTAGTTTTTATATTTTTAAATAGATTTTATATGTATAAATATATTTTTATTGATAATTAAACAATGAAATTAATAAAATGATATTTTAAAACTATACTATTTGTCAATGATAATTAACTACAAAATTTTAAATACAGAATGATAGATTAAGAATAAGACACATTTAATTAGAAACTATTGAATATATTCAATTTTTGTAAAAGAAAAATATGTTATCCCTAAAGGGATGAATAATAAAATTATTTAACTACATTTCATTGTGAAGTTTTGAACCAAACAATTTTTTTATTATATATTTTCTGAAGCTAGATAGAGTTTATTTTTAAGATTTTATTATTTTCTGTTATCAGAGAGTTTTTTAAATTTAATTTTTATATTACCCCTAATTTATTAGCATTATTTTTATACAGCCTAATAATTTAAATATATATTTAACGTCACATGTTTATACAAAATATAATTAAATTAATAGTTTATACAATTATGTATTTTTGTTAAAATGCACTTAATACATTTTTTACCTAAGTTATAGATATATAAAATTGTTTTCTCTAGATAATTTTCTTTACACTTAACTGAACTAATATTAACAAAGTATGTTCATAAGAACATTTACAAAGTGTAAAACAAAATGAAATATCTACACTTACATAATTATGATTACTACTTGTTGTATTCACTAGATTACTAAAATTTTGGTCACCTTGATAAATCAATTTATGGTATTTTTTATCAACTGTAAAAATTTATATTTAAATGTAAAATATTTAATTAATAGAGTTCTTTTTTTTTTTTTAATTAATGTCATTATAATGAATAGTACTAACCAAAAGGTTTAAGAATTCCCATGGCTTGAAAATGTTGCATTTCAGATAAGAGTATAAATAATTCTAAAACAGTATGATTTTGTTCGCCCCATAAGTTTAACAATTCATCAGTGGGAGAATGATTTCGCATAAAAGCTTTACCAATTTTGAACAAAGTAGCACAATCAAACTTCATATACTTACCACCTAATGTGTAAATTTTTTTTAGAATAACATGTAAGAATTTCTTTAAATAATTACACAATATAAAGTAACTAAATTTTATAAAATACCTAAATCTTCCCACTTGTCATTCATGTCAATTATACTACAAAATTGCTTTCGTTCTGCATAAGGTAGTTCGTACACATAGACATTTTTTTTTGGTCCATTAAAACCACTCATAATTATCAAGTTTACTTGAAAAATAAATAAATTTGAATTTACGATAAACTGCTATTTGTAAAAATTACTATTTAGCATTACATAGAACAAAATTTATACACTTTACTAAAAAAAATTTGTTTCATATTTTCTATAAATTTATTCTTTAAAATATTTACAATTATGATATGTTATCTGTCAGACCTATGTTATTTTTTGTACTTATACCGTGGTATAAAAAGTGCTGAATGCTTAGCTTTTGTTCACTTGATTTCCCGCCTTTCGGTAAAGAAATTTTATCACTATAACAAATTTTGTTGTTCTTCTTCTTGATTTTGCCGCCTCTGTGATTAGTGATTAGGCGACGTGTAGGTGTTTTGTTGCATTTAGATGTGTTAGTTTGTTTAATTTTATATATGCTAAATTAAAAAATTATTTATTCCTTAGTAAATATGTATAAATGTTTATTATAGAAGATTAAATCTATAGAAGTTTTATTGTTATACGATGCAAGGTGTATTATAATTACTGCTGTTGTTAAAGTCAACAACGATTTATTTTAAATAACATTTACATTTTGAAATATACTATGGGTGTACCAGTAACCTTAGGCGTAGATGCAGATATCTACAATGGCAAATTTCAAGAATTGTGTAAAGGTTTGAATTTAGACAAGAATGCTGCCAATCGAGCGTGGTCTGCTTATTTAACTGTGAAAGAAAACTATTCGTTAGATGTAAGTTAGCTTTATCAACTTCAAGTATAACATTTTTTATACATTATATATTTAGGGTAATCCTAATCACTGGTTAGCTTGTGCAATATATGTTGCTTGTCGTAATGTAACAGAACAAACTGTTGGTGATAGTGAAACTTTAATTGAAGGAAATTTAGTTAGTTTAACAAGATTACTTCGTCTTAGCAATATAAAGTAAGGTTAAGTAAAATTGTATTTTTCTGTTTTATTATTTATATGTTCATTTTTTTAGCTTGATAGATTTTATAAGTAAAAGTAAAAAATGGGCAGACATGATTAATATGCCATTGGAATTACGTCGTAAAATTGAAAAACTTGAAAATAATTTTGCAGTTTCTATGGTTATATTCAAGAAATTTCAACCCATTTTTAAAGCCATGTTTAATGATTCAATTGATGACAACTCTAAGTCTCGATTGTCTAAGAAACAAAAGTATATTATTAATATTTATTATTTTCCAATATTATTTTTCTTTGATTTCAGAGTTTCATGTTCATTTTCCAAACTATTTGAATTTTGCTGGACATTATTTGTCTCTACTAAATCTGAGTTCCCATCTTTAAGTGATGATCTAGTAAATTCATATCATTTATTGCTAGCCTGCTGTGATTATATTTATACAAATGTTCTTATAGCTGACTTAAGAGAGCTTTTAAATAAATCATTCGGAGGTAAAGTTGTATATTCCTAGTGTTAAAAAAGAAATGTTAATTTTGAGCATATGAAAATCATATGCTGTGCTTATTACAGCACATACAAGCAATAAAATATATATAAATTGTCTGATAATTCAGGAATTTATTTTGATATTTGATAAAAATTTCTCAAGTTTATTTTTTAAATAGCCTAGCAAATAGATTCATCTTAAATTATAATTAATATGTAAAATTTACAAGATCAAAACTGTATGTTTAACAAAATTTATATGCATTAATTTTTCATTTCTATTTTTTTGTATCTTATTTTAAAATTCATTATATTTATGTTTAAAAGATGTTTCAATATATATTTTACATAAGTGTCTAGTATATTTTTTAATAATGATATTTAATTTTTAACATTTTCAGGTCTTCCATATGATTTTGATACACCTTCATATATTTCACCAAAAAAACCAATTTGTATTATTGACTATTTATGTCAAAACTATGATGGTATAGCTACTGAAGCAAAAGGGATTAAATTTCATTGGAAAATTAATTTAAAAAAACTAATTGATAGACAAGTAATTTAGTACATGTTTAACTATAAATTAATCTAAATATATTTATAATAAAAAATAGCACAGTGGGGTCGCGGCATAGTGGACACATTGCATAGTAGGGTCCAGTGTAGATTTAATCTGACAGTGATTAAAATCACTATCATAAGAAACGCTTCGATGCAAATCTGTAGATAGTGTTTAATTTTAAAAAATTGATGGATAATTGCAAAAGCAACATCAACTTCTATTAAAATAAAATACAAAACCCATAATTATCATACAAAAATAGTATATTTTTCAATATGGTAGCCATTTGCGTATAGAAGATAGATCGTCGGGACAAATTTTTTTTTTTCATTTTGTAGTACATAAAATAAGCTTTAATTTTATATATGTTTAAAGGACGCAGTATTTCCGGAACATTTTCAAAAATTAAGTTGAAAAAGTTATTTTTTGTAAAAAAGTTACTATTTTAAATCCTCCCAGTGAGCAGAATAAGTGTTAGATTTTCAAAAAAAATTATATCAAATGAAAGGGAAATATCTAAGGTTTCAATACAAAAAAATATTATTTTTATTTGTTCATTTTTGAAAAAGTTATGGCAGTTTTAAGTACAAAAAACATCCCGATAAAATGTAATTTTTATCGCAAACATTACATTTTTTTTTAAATTTTCGACAGCCATTTGCACATAGAAGATAAGATGTCGGGACAAATTTTTTTTTTTCATTTGATAGTATATAACATAACCTTTGATTTGATATATGTTTAAAGGACGCAGTATTTCCGGAACATTTTCAAAAGTTCAGTTGAAAAAGATCTATGTTTTTTACAATATTTTAAGTTTTGAACGCCCCCTATATAAGGGGAAATTGTCCAATTTTAATAAAAAGTATGTCAAATGAAAGATGTACTTATAATGTATTTAGAAAAAAAAAATTTGTGCTGATATATACATTTTTCAAAAAGTTATAGCATTTTTAAGTTGAAAATTTAAAATCGAAAATCGAAAATTTTAACACAAAAATAGTGTTTTTTTAACTACGGCAGCCGTTTAAATGTAGAAAAAAAAGTGTCGGGACAAATTTTTTTTTTTCATTTTGTAGTACATAAAATAAGCTTTAATTTGATATATGTTTAAAGGACGCAGTCTTTCCGGAACATTTTCAAAAATTAAGTTGAAAAAATTAATTTTTGTAAAAAAGTTGCCATTTTAAATCCCCCCCAATGAGCAGGTTAAGTGATAGATTTTCAAAAAAATGATATCAAATGAAAGGTAAATATCTAAGGTTTTAGTATAAAAAAAAATTATGTTGATTTGTTGATTTTTCAAAAAGTTATGGAAGTTTTAAGAAAAAAAAGTGAAAAAATTTCGAAAATTAGCGATTTTTAAATTTGTAATTTTTTTGGATATTTCCCCCATTTGCGGGGAACGAGGGAATTTTTTTCAATTTTTAAGGGTAATGTCTTCAACTAGATACGATTTGTGATCTTTTGACGTATTTTTGAAAGAAATCGGTCCAGTGAGAGCTGAGAAAAAGTGGCAACAGACATAAAAAAAAAAACACATCATAGTAAAATTAATACCTTCTCCGCTTCGCATCGAAGCTAAAATATCTTAATACATTTTAGCTTATTTTTTAAATTAACTAACTGAAAAATTATAGTATAGTTGTATATATTATTTCAATTACTAACATATTTTATTTTATAAAAAAAATTTGACTAGAAATTTCTTTTAGTTAACTTTCAGATTTGAGTTCTCTAAAAATACAAATTATAACATGATATAATCTTCAACATGGTCAAAGCTTTTTTTTTTTTTTTGAAATTTGAGCCATGTTATAATTAGATATGAAACAAAACTATTATTACTAGAAAAACATGTTTGCATACATCTAAATTATTTAAGTACAATGTAATTTTTTATTTAATAATAGAAGGAGAATTAATCATTTATAGTATTAGACTAATTTTAATATGTATTTAAACATACATAAAAACTTTTATTTTTATTTTTATTCATTAAATGTGATTTATTAATCCTTAATCAGCTTAATGACATCTATTAATTTTAATAGTAAAAGTAGCTCATTAAAATTTTTGTTTATAAAATAAATTATTACGTTTTTCAATAATATTATTGCAAATTAAATCAAATTGATTTATTTTAATTAAGTTAAGTATTGATTGAAGTGGTAAACTTCATCAACATTTTTTTTTTAATAAAAAAGTGAATATTTACACATTTAAAATTGTGTGTAGATTCTTAAAGGAGATGTTGAGCTTATGTTATTTTTGGATCCTATTAATTTTGAGAACAACTTAAAAGCTATCAATAAACGCTATGAACAATATGTCTTAAGTGTTGGTGAATTTGATGAACGAATATTTCTTTGTAAGTAGTTTAAGAATATTTTATAAACTTGTACAATACATTTTTTTTAATACATAAATATTATTTATTAGCTGAAAATGCCAATATTGAAATAGGACCTTCAACTGAGTGTTCAACTAAAGATCTTGTTAAAGAAATGAAAAATAAAAAGGTATACTCTATTATTATTTTTATATAAATCTAAATTATTATAATTAAATACTTTAAAATTTTATTTAAAAATTTTGAAGTTTAACAGAATTTTACTATGAATAAAATAACTGAAATCTGAATATGCGAGTTTATTTTGTGGTGTTTTGAGTTAAATATTTTTCTAGATCATTAAAGTATTATATTTTTAGTACTTTAGACTTGCATTACTTTTAAAGTGAAGATTAAATTTTAAATAAATTAAAGTCTTGAACTTATCTGATTGTACTGCCTTCTTTGTTTAAAAGAGTTATTTGTTTTGTAATATTTTTGTTCATTGTAGTAAAATATGTGCTTATATCAATTTTTCTCCTTAGATGAATTTTTTAAATTATACTCCACTGACTGCTCAAACCTATTTAAAAACTAAAAATGATAATTCTCATGAAAATATATCGGTGAGAAGTGATTCAGATATGCTATTTAAAATTGAATCAATTTTAACTGATTTCTATCCACATCCTTCAGATAACTTGTATGCATTGTTTATGTAAGTTTATGATGATGGTACATTTAAAAATAATCTATGTAGTTTAAAATATATTCTACAATTTAACAGGTCTTGTTCAGGAGATTTAAAAGATAATATTGAAAATTTAGTAAATGAGCTAAGTACCAAGTTTTATGCTAAATATTGTCTTGTTGATCAAAATTCATCTTTAAATTGTGAAACTGCTAAGAAAAAACTCCATATGGCAAAAGTTTGGTTTTATAAGTTGTTTGAAAATATTGTTGATAAAGAAGCAAAAAATCCCAAGTATGACATCAGAGTAAGTAGAAATTACTTACAAAATAAAAATACTATATTAATTATATTATATTTGTTATTTTTTCTTAGTCATTGATGCTTCACAATATATTTCATGAAACCCTGTTTGCTTGTTGCTTGGAAATGATATTATTTTCTTATAATTCGCATTTTACATTTCCATGGGTCCTTAATGTTCTTGAAATACATCCTTATCATTTATATAAAGTGATTGAAGTAATTGTGCGAGTAGAAGATAAATTACCAAGAGATATGGTAAAGCATTTAAATAGGGTAAGTTAAATTAGATTTCATTAAAATTAAAATATTAATACAAAATGTTTTTTTTTTTTTGGTTTTTATACCAAATTTTAACTCATTGATTTGAAAAAAAATGTGACAAATTATCTTAAGACCGTTCAAATTACAAATATAATTGGTGATTTCTAGGTTGAGGAACAGGTATTAGATAGTTTGTCATGGCAATCTAAAAGTCCATTATGGGAACTAATCAATATAAATGATAAAAAAATTCCAAGGTATGAAGATATTGCATTAATTAACATTGTGAGTTCAAATACAATTAATCAAAATCAGAAAGTAGAAAATAATATTACCCTACCAAAAGGTAATTTGCACTTTGTATACATATAGTATTTAAATTGGATTAATATAATATTATTCTAATAATAATTTATTATAAACAGTCCTCTAACCATATTTATTATAAATATTATAAGTTGTCTGTTAAAAATTTAATCATGATTCAATATTACTTTAGATAGTCCAATATCTGATAGATTTATATCACCAGCGCCTGGACATCCAAATGTCTTCAAAACTGGTCGTCAAGTAATAGTGAATGAAAATAAACAATATAATACAACTCAGTGTTACAACAATTGTGCAATTCAAGTTTCTCCTGCTAAAAAGATTGGTACATTTGGGCTTTTTTTTAGAAAAGTATGTGAAGTGCATTGGTTATAATTTATTTTTAGATTATTTAACTTTATAAAATTTAACTGTTAATATTTTTGTTTTAGTTTTATTATTTGGCTGCTGTACGTATGCAAGATTTATGTTATCAACTAAGTATAAATGAAGATTTAATGCGTAAAATTTGGACTTGTTTTGAACATGTTATTATTGTACAAACTGATATGATGCGTGATAGACATTTAGATCAAATATTGATGTGTACAATCTACATAATCTGTCGAGTTAGTTGTGTTTATTTAATTTTAAATATAAAATGAAAAGCAAATACCTTAGTATACTAATAACAGATAAATACCAAAAATTAATATTAGAATCCAGAGGCAGATTGATAAAATTTTGAAATAACAAAAAATTATGAAGAAATGTGACAAAACCACAATATTTTGATAAATGTATTAACCTTTGATGTACTTAATATTTTGTATATTTTTTTTTTAATAATTTATTCATTGTTAGACTATATTAAAATCATATTTATTTATAAAAAATAAAAAAAAATCATTTTAAAAATAGTAGTATTTTAGAGCTTTTCTTACAAAAAGGTTTAATGAGTTATTAACAATTTCAGGGGGAGTACTTATTGAGTTATAAGCATTTTAATAAATAGAGTGGGTACTGTTATTTATTTTTAATTCATACTCCAACCATGCTATATACCCACACCATGTATTAAAATGCTTATAACTCAATAAGTACTCTTCCTACAATTTTTAATAATCCATTAAAATTTTTGAAAGAAAATCTCTAAAATAACTATTTTGAAGTTTAAAATAAAATAGTTTATTATTAAAAACAAATAATAAATATGATTTTGACATAGTTAATGTTTAATTTATTAAGAAAAAGAGTAGGATAAAATATTTAAGTAAATTAAAAGTTATTATTTTAAATCTCATAAAGTTTTTCCCTCTTATATTATTACTGAAGCAGTTTATCAAAAAAGAATACTTTTGAATTTAAAGTGAACCGATCTGCCTCAATTTGTATCTTATTATTGAAAACCTTGAATTTGGTTTGAAAACCAAACAGAACATTATTATTATTTATATATTGGGAGTACAAATTAATTTGTTCCATTTTTTTAATTAAAAAAAAAAAAATTATTCAAATACACAGTTATTGAATAGACTATTCAAAGTATTAAATCCCATTGCAGAAAAACTTTTCGTCCTTTGAGGCAATCCAATTTTTAAGCCATTTTTCAATTTCTTTGAAAGAAGAGAAATCGGTGACCTGTCAAATCGTTTTGCATCCGATGAAATAACCAATAGTTAGAAGGAGCAATGTCAGGAAAATATAGCGGGTGTAGTAAAATATCCCATTTAACCGTTTCCAAATATTTTTTGACAACTTTAGCGACGTGAGACTGAGTGTTGTCGTGCAGAAGAATAATTTTATCGTGCCTGTCTTTATATTCCGGTCACTTTTCTTTAAACGCACAGCTCAAATGAATTAATTGCAGTTTGTACTGTTCACCAGTAATGGTATTACCTGGTTGTAGCAGCTCGCAGTACACCATGTCCCTCAGATCCCACCAGATACACAGCATTACCTTTGAACCATGAATATTCTGTTTTGGTGTTGATGTTGATGGTAATGATTGTCCAAACAAGGAGTAGTAATCTTTTTTTCTTGGGGTTGTCATAGTAGATTCACTTTTTGTAACCAGTCCCTATGCGTTGTATAAAACCTTTTCTGTTTTGCCTTTGAATCAGCTGTTCTCAAGAAAAAAATCACCTTTCCACATCTCGTGGTCTCAGGTCATAAGGGACCCAAGTACCTTGCTTTTGGATAAATCCTAATGACTTTAATCGTACAGATTGTTGAGTCGCTCCCAATGTGAGTGGTTCCGACCAAGGTCTGTCATTAACTCTAAAATCGCTACTTTTAAAATGCTGAAAACCATTCTCTATATGATCTGTCAGTTGAAGCATTGTCACCGTAATTCTCCATAAGTATCCGATGAGCTTCAGCTGCACTTTTCTTCCCATTAAAAAAAAAGTTAATATTTTCTGCAAATGCTATTTATTAATTATAAAATCCGACATTTTTAATACCGTAACAATTTTTTTTTTCAATTTATCTAAAATATATATAAACTGTATGTTATCGACAAATGTTTAAACTGTCTGAAATCACGTCAAGTAGCTGTTGAAATAAAGAATTTAATATTTTTAGCACCATCTTTTTGAAAACGGACCGAACTAATTTGTACTCCCAATCTTAAAAATTAAAGTTATTTTAGTTTTTTACTAAAGCATTATTTTGGAACCCCTGTAGGGTAGATATAGTGAGTTTTTCATTCAATGTTAATATTGTATATATACATTCATAAAAATTTCAAGTCATATGCTCTCTATTTAACCTTTTGAATTTCAGTGAACTTTAAATAGTAAAATATTTTTTGGGTTTTATTTATCTTACAAAATTTTTTATGATTTATGAACAAATTTTATTTTATATATTAATATTTATATATCTTAAGACAGAAAATAAACCTAAATATGCTTAATGATTAAAATTTTCAAACCTGTACCTCCTCTATACTATAGAGTCTATAGCATTGTTTTAAAACTTATAGTTTTTTTCAAAACACTGGTTCACAATTTTTTATAATTTTCTTGGCAGATCACTTAATAAATAAAAATTAATAAGAATACTAGATGCCTCAATAGTATTAACTATTATACTCACTAACAATTTATTTAAAATTCTAGGTTGTCAATTTAAATTTGCGATTTCAAGATATTATGAAATGTTACAGAAATCAACCACAATCTGCTTCTCATATTTATCGAAGTGTTTTGATTTCGTCAAAAAATTTTAGTCAAGGTATATTCATACAATAAAATTTTTAGAATGAGTTTCAACATATTTTTACATATATGGAAACATATTTTTAAAATACTATATTACCATTTAATTAACATAAGACTTATTTTTAATTTACACAAGTTAAAAATTTGCTAAAAAAAAAAATAAAAGTTTTAAAGTATAAAGTGAAAATTACATTGTAAATTTTTGATTTTTGTGTACATTCTAAATAATTTAAAAAATTCATATGTTTCTCAATACAGTATCATGAAATATCTGTTTTATATTACATAATTGTTTGACCAACTAAATGATAATAAATAGATAATTATATTGTGGTGAACTTTTTAAATTTTTTAATAAAAAAAAATATGTAAATATATATAATTATGGCTAAAAACCAAATTTATTATGGTTTTTTAAATGTTGGAAACTAAAAGTATTATAAAATCATATTCAAAACCATTACTTAGGTTTCGTTAAGATTTTAAATATAATTTGATACTTTATAAAATTTGAATACCAAAATGAACCGATATTTTATTAGTTAATTTTGGGTTTTAAACTTTTTTATAATCAAGTTTTAAGTTAAATTAAGGTTTCAAAATTGAACTTGTATATTTTTGTTTTCTGTTATCATTTTTTCAACATATACTAAAAAAAATTGATATAAATAATAATTTAATAGATATAAGAATAAATACCAAAAATTATTATGCCAAACAGAAATTATTTCAGTTCCTAGTTTTGCTTAAAATAAAAAAAATTCAGTACAAAATATTTCAAATTATAATTTTAAAGTTTAGTACAATGTTTTTTTCTATCACAAGTAATGCTCAAAAATACAATTTTAAAAACCCAAACTCAAAATTTGTGTTGACCAGTGTTCTTAATTATTTTTAAAAGTGGTATTAATTGATTTATTTATTTTTTTTATAGAAGAAATTGAAAATAGTGGAGCCCAATGTGATGAAGAGCGTATTGATCTTATTAAATTTTATAACACAATATTTGTTTTAAAAGTCAAAGATAATGCTCTCAAATATTCAACAAGCAATAGTGTAAGTTTTTAAGCCATAAAAATATTAATTGTTCAGTAATATATAAATTATTTTTTTTTGTTAAAAAACTTATATAACTATATTTTGAATTTGGAGGCTTTATCTAATTTTATGTCAGTACACTATTGTCATTTTTAGTATAATAATACAGCCCTAATAGGTTTGTAATTTCATGTTCTAAGAGTTTTTTGGAGAGCTACGTTTAGTAAAAAATAATGCAATTACTTTAAAGTATACAGGTATTATAATTTTAAATAAAATGCATAATGTAGTGGACTACTGAGTTGTTGTCTTAATACTGATGTTAAGTTCCACTATTACTGTTGAGTTGTACTAGATAGAAACCATATGGAAACATATCCTGTTCCCTACCCACAAAGTTAGATGACAATGCTTTTAGATAGAAGGCAAGTTTATCTATATACAACATTTATAAAAATGCAACATACAAAGAATTCCACCAGGCCCTAAAGATTAAAAAAAATCCAATTCCAAATAGTGCTTATTTTGTTGTACATAACTTATTTAACCATCATTAAATAATTCTCATTTTAATAAAAATGATACATTTTAAGATTGCTTTTATAACATACATAAAATTTGATTATATCTAGTATAACAAACTTCATTTTCTTTACTTATTAACTTATTTAAATTAGTCTAATAATATTATGTTTATTTTTTATAGAATGAAAATATTGTTTTATCTCCTTTACCAGCTACAAAAACACAACTACATTCACCTACTACTAGAAGAGTTAGTGACCGTATTCCAATATTTATTCGCAAACTTGAAGCTCAAGCTAGTCCAATCAAGTCACCAATTAAGCCTCTTAGTTATTGTATAAATCAGAGTCCAAAAAAAGTATGTTAAAATAAATAGATCCACTAGTTTATATTTTAGAATTTTTTTTTTTAATATTCATTTTCCTTAAATAAAAACAAAAGAAAAAAATTATCATTTCTTTAATGAGGAATTCAATCTCCCACGATGTTTGACATTCCAAAAAACTTATGATCTAGCAAATATATTGCATGACTTTTTTTTTTAATTGTTACAGTTTTGAATTAGATTAAAAAACATATTTTTCTTATTTATCTCTAATAAAAAAGCAAAAATTCTTTTGTATTTTAATTTTAAAATGGCTATTTTAGCCTTATTCTTACTAATAATTTTGATAGATCGATATCAACATTAGGATTAGTACTTATAAAGTTGCAAGTATTTTAATACATAAAGAGGGCATGTATCACTGTTGGATTATGCATTTTAAATATACACTAGTATGACAAGCTGTACCTACATACCCACTATGTATATTAAAATGCTTGTAACTTAATAAATACTTATGCCAGAGTTTGTTATCAACCCATCAAAATTTTAAGTAAGAAAAAATTGGCTATTTTATAATTTAAAATTTTTTTTAATATGCATTTATTAGCTCAAAACTAAACAAATTATTTAAAAAAAGATTTTTTCTCTTAATTTCAATTATATAAATTGGTAACAAAATACAGTGATTTTTTTAACCTAAGTCACTCAATTATTCACAATATAAATATAATATTGAAATAAAAATTAATATTTTTTAACTGCATATTTTTCTTGATATAACAGCTATTTTTTTATTACTAAAAAAATTGAAAATTTTAAGTATATATTATAATACATAAAATTAATAATATAATAAAATTTTAAATAGTGATAAAATTTTACAGATAGTTTTAAAATTGTATAGATTAAGTATGACAAATTTATTTTGTCCAAGTTATTTACCTTAATTAGTATACAGGTTATCTGAAGGTACCTCAAAAGAGTAATAAGACTAAGGGTACTTATCTATTACGAGCACAAATTACTCTTAAAGTTACTACCAAGAATATGTCGTATAAATACCCAGCCGTGTTTGAATGAGAAAGCTTTTAGACATTAATTAGAAAGGATAAAGTTCAATAATGACACAAACGGAATAATTAAACGATTTATAACAAACATTATAATGTTAAATAAAATATTTTTATTTCTTGCTTTATAGACAATATATAAATATATATAATTACACGAGCTATCTAAATTTATCTGTTGTAAATCTATATATTCAATTTTTTTTTTTTTTAGGATTTGGAAAATATTAATTTAGTAACAATGCGTCCTCTTACAAAAAAAAGAAGTATTAATAGTGATCACATTGATACTCCTAATAAGAAACAAAAAACTCCATCCCCTCCTGTAATAACAAAAAGGTTACAAGGTCTTTTAGAAGAACGTTTAGAGCATAATAGTGACAAATAATTATTTTTACTTCATTTTTCTATCTTGTGAATTTTTATGTTATTGCAACTTTTATTTTAAGAAATTAGTTGTAAAATTAAAATGTGTGGATTATATTTCATAGATTGATATTATGCATTATAACTCATATTTTAAGTAATTGTAGACTCAGATTACTGTTTTCAGATAAAACATTTTAGTAAATATTAAACTGAATAATTTTATGAACATTTATTTAAATAATAAATAAAATAAATAACTAATCATAAAATTAGGTAATACTGCAATTTTTACTACTCTAGATCTCATGTTCTTTTATTATAATTTTTCACTGTAAAAACAAAATGTATATTATCGACAAAAACTTATAAATATATTTGTATACACATGTTCAAAAGTAAAGATAGGGTTTTCATATTATTCGATCAACAAAACCTTATTCCTTACATATTAAATATCTAATAACTTAACTGCTTGAATAATTTTAATTTTATTTAATAAGTATATTAACTAATTATGACATTTTTATTATTTCTTAAAAACTAGTATAAACGTGTGTAAAATAATTTGTGTAATCCTTAATGATGTAGAGCCTATTTATTTATATATATAATTTTAAATTATACATATTAAAAATATTTTTGTGTATATTTTTATGTGACATTTGAAAATTTCTTTAATAGTTGTACTAATTACAAATTTTATATTTATATATTATTTTATTTTACTATCAATATTGTATTTAAAAAAAATTATACATTTTAATTTCAATTGTGGACTTTGGTTATTTTATAGTACTATTATGTTATTATAATTAATACTGAATACTAAATATTAAAGTAAACATATTATTTACTAAATTTAACAAACATATAATTACTACTTTTATTACAATATAAATTAAAAATAAAATTCAAGATGGATTTATTTTTCTTGTTACAAGTATAAACAATTATTAATAAATCTAAATTATTCAAAAGCTCACTTTATCAGTTTATTTTTACTATTAGATTTGTATGCAAAGCTATTTATGATCTACAGACTATCCCCATATTGTGTTAATATATCCATAAACGTATTTATTACAAGTTTTATGATTTATAAGTGTAATATATGAATAAATATAATTATTTATAATATATAAATATAAAGGAAAATGGTGTTATTTAAAAAAAAGGTATGTCGAATGAAAGAAGGATATAAATATTATTTCTCATAAAAAAATTATATTGATCCATTCATTTTTCAAAAAGTTATAGCATTGTAAAGTTAAAAAATATAAAAAAGAATTTTATTACAAAAATCGTATTTTATCTTCAATGCAAAGCTAAGAAGGTATTAGTTTTACTATAATGTGTTTTTTTTTGTCACCAGTGTTCTCATCTACCACCGAACCGATTCTTTTTTTCTCAAAAAATTCTTTTTTATATTTTTAACTTCATAATGCTATAACTTTTTGAAAAATGTATGGATTAATATAAGTTTTTTTTTATAGATGCATGATGTATTTACCTATTATTTGGTATATATTTTTTTTATATCTGACCCTTTACCTGCCCACAGGGGGGGATTTAAAATGACAACTTTTTCACAAAAAATTTACTTTTTCAACTTAAATTTTGAAACTGTTCCGGAAACTGTCACTTTTATATATATCATAAATTAAAGATAATGTAATATATTTTATTATGGAAAAAAAAAAATTTTGGACTTTATTTTGTCTTCAAGGTAAAAATAATTACCTTTAGTATTTTTTAGTTACGTATAATTCTTGATTTTTCAATTATGTTTTTTTAATTTTTCCTTTATACCTTATAAGAGTATCAACTTCATTTTTTATGGGCAACATACATTTTTAACTACATTATAAGATAAAAAAAGATCTAATTAAATAAATTAAAAAAGTTGTGGAAAATTTTTGGCACATAATTTTGGAAATTATAACAATTATAAAATATAGAGTAGAGGTGAAGTGTGGGTTGTTATTTTTGTTCAAAAGAAACATAACCGCGCTCTTATTCTTCTCTATATTTAAAAATGTTAATAACTTCTGAAGTACAATTTCAAAAATTTTGACCAGTCATTTTTATTTTATTATCTAGTTATATATATATGTACTCTATAACATTATTCTTTTTTGTAATTTCTCCATAAATATCATTTTTACACTAGATTATATTACTATAATAAGTCTTTATTTATGTATTTTGCTTATAAATTATAAGACTTGTAATCAGGATATAGTTAAGGAGTTTATGTTGCTTTTGGAATCGTTCAATAATTTGTTCTAAAAATTTAACACTGTAAGGATTTGCATTGAAGCGTTTTTTATGATAGTGGTTTTAATGTCACATATCTATACTTGTTCTAACTATGTCGCGATCTCACTGTGGTGGGGTTTTTATTTATTTTGACAAGTAACACACTATATTTTAAATTCATATTGTCTTCGCCAAGTTGTTTTTTAATTAACAATGACAAATTTTATTTAAACTAAAAAATAGCCTCATTATCTTGATTTAAGTATACTAAAAAATATTTGTCATTGAATAATTACATGATAATTAAACATTTTTGTCTATGTTTTCATCATCAATACCTCAATTCAATAATGTTGGATATCATTTTTTCGTATTAATTATTAGATAATAGATGTACTAGCATTTACTTAAAATATTTTCCCAGACTCAATATTTATAATATAGGTTATAAGCATCTATACAATCTATTTACATGGTGATTGATTAAGGATAATACACTCATTTTCTTAAAAACTATTGACCATGTTCAATTTTTGTAAAGGCAAATATTGTTAACAAGCAATAACAGAACTGTCCATTGAATGAAAAATATTACAAGAACAAAATTTCTTGAAAATTATTATATCATTAAATTAAAATTAGGGGTACCTATTATAGAAAATTAATGTTAAGGTTTTTGTCTCTGAAAGGATAGAAAAAAACGATATCACTAAATATCTTTGTAGTTTTTTGAAGTAATATGCACGTATATAAATTGAAAATATGCAATAGTTACTCAGAAAATTAGTGTCTTATCTAATCGATCGTTCGTATAGATGCATAAAATATATTTTATGCATCCGTGTTTATATTAATAGTAATTGGCTCCCTTCCTACTACTACACGTCAGATTTTAAAGAGTATAAATAATTTTACGATACATTTATTAATAATTTCACAATATAGGTATATTTAATTATTAGATCTGAGCATTTAGTTATTGTAGCTTTTCAGATCTCAGTAACATACTTTATTTTAAAATGCGTTTAATCTTAAATCAAGTAATACATAATTTTCAGCATCTATATTTGAATGTGATTATAATATAATAACTGTAAAATTTTTGTCATGGATTTACTGATGACGTTTAAAACAATAGAATAAAAAATAATTGATAAATTATATTTATATTATATTTTAATATATTTTTCTGTGCGAATCAAATTTTAATACATGATTGAAAGAGAATATAGAGAGGTATAGAACAAACTTTGGAAACTGTCGATTTCATATTATAAATAATCGTAATAAAATTAATATTATTTCTTATTTCGTATAATGAAGTATACTAATGTACAAATGGATTGAATAAATAGATAGACATAAGTAATTATTACCAGCTGTATTATCACAAATAAACTATCACAATAAAATAATTTGATTCTACTGTTCTATGATAAGTTTTATTCCAACATGCTCTAAAATTGTAATACGTTTACACTTTTGTATTTCTAGATAATGCGATTTTTGTTTAATAAATAAACCAAAGTAAACAAATAACATTAAATATAAGTACTATAATATTTATACTAAGTTATTTCTGTTTTTAAATAGTTAATAATATATTCATTTGATCTGTTAGTTGGTTTTCATATTATTTTCCTTCGTGTTTAATTTACTCTGACCTCTAGAAGTAAACATAACATATTTTACTTTTTTCAATATTGTTAACATTTATGATTAAAGACTTTTCTTTAGAAGAAGATGATGATTGGTAGATATTATTAATTTCTTATACTATGGCTAATATAGTTGAACAAACTCCAGATACTACTGAAAAAACTACCACTTTGCTGGAAAATGGTAAAATTGTAAAAAATGATAATAAAGTTGACTATTCTAGTGTTCGTGGAAAGGTATCTCATTAATTTTTTAATGTTCTTTAAGTTAATAGAAATTAATTTATATTATTTGTACAGCTAAGTTTAGTTAGTCCATCTGAAGATCAAATTGAAATATTAGAACAAAAATTAAAGGAACTAATAGAAGATGGACACGGAGAGACAATTTTTGATGTAGGTTCTGGTGATGATGGAAGTGGTTTAACTAGTGATGAATTTAAAGCATCTGTTGCTACATTAGATTCATTAGCTGCTATGCAAAATGCTGACTGTGTGTTACTCAGAAAAAAAAATGACAATGGATTTACAGCTCAGTATTTAGTTCGAAAACGATTAGAATCTCAAGACTTCTTAGAAATAAGGTAAAATTTTAAGTTATTTTTAAGATTATATTGTTAATTTTATTATTTATTGTGAGCTAAATTTCTGTAAATATTTTTACATTCATACATTAATCATAAAAATTTAGATGCAATGAAAAATGTCAAGTTTCATCAAGACCAAATATTTGCCTAAAAACTACTTTTGAGCCATATTTGATTATGCTAGTCTTTTATGTAAAACAGAAAATTTGCCCATAAACAGTTAAATTTTTTGCTGTTTTAACTTTTACTAAATATTTTAGGGTAGCAGTTGTTGGTAATGTTGATGCAGGTAAATCAACATTATTAGGTGTTTTAACACACGGTGAGTTAGATAATGGCCGAGGACATGCCAGATTAAAACTATTTAGGCATAAACATGAAATGGAATCAGGCCGAACAAGCTCTGTAGGAAATGATATTCTTGGATTTGATAGTACTGGAGAAGTTGTAAATAGACCAGAACATGGCTCTTTGGATTGGGTAAAAATATGTGAAAAATCTACAAAAGTGATAACTTTTATTGACTTAGCTGGGCATGAACGTTATTTAAAAACTACTGTGTTTGGTATGACTGGACATATGCCTGATTTTGGAATGCTAATGGTATAGATATTTTAATCCAATTTTGTATCCATAATATTTTCATAAAAATATAAAATGTATTATGTTTATTATATTTTTAAAGATTGGAGCAAATGCTGGTATAATAGGAATGACTAAGGAACATTTAGGTTTAGCATTAGCATTAAGTGTACCAGTATTTGTAGTAGTTACTAAAATTGATATGTGTCCACCAAATATACTTCAAGATACTTTAAGACTTTTGGTTCGTATTCTTAAATCCCCTGGCTGTAGAAAAGTGCCCGTTATGGTTAAAACAAAAGATGATGTTATTGTTAGTGCAACTAATTTTGTATCACAGAGGTGAATTTTAAAAGCAAATTTTTATTTTATAAGATTATATTTAAAATATTTTATATATAAATTATTTTTTATTAGATTATGCCCTATATTTCAAGTTTCTAATGTAAATGGAAAAAACTTAGATTTGTTAAAAATGTTTTTAAATCTATTAACTACTAGAGTTATGACAACAGATGATGAGCCAGCTGAATTTCAAATTGATGACACTTATTCTGTGCCAGTATGTATTTTTATTTTTATAAAGTCTTTCTTATATTATATTTTGAAACGGGGTTTTATATTTTTTGATTATTATAACTTAATAGGTGTTTTGTTATAATTATTGCAAAATATTTTTTTTACAAGTTCTAAAGATAAAAATTTATTGTATTATAAATACATTATTAAAAAAATAAGGAGTTTCAAATATAGGTTTTGGAAATAAGCATATAATGATTTACATTTTACAAGTTTTAACATTTTTATTAATTGTGATTCAAAATAAATAGGTTTTTTTTGTGTTCAATAATATAATTAATAATTAAAAATATAATTGGTGATAAATATTTTGAATTTCACAAATTTTACAGCCTATAATTATAAATCATATTTGGTTTAGATTATTCTAATATTCTTTTTAAATTGTATGAGATATTATGAAATTATCATGCCTGGTTTAAATATAATTCATTAAAAATTATTTATACTTTGATGTTCTATTTTTTTATTCAGCAGCATTCTAAGATGTTTTTGATTTCAGTCTAAGAGTTGTACAATTGATAGATTACTAAAAGAAGGCATAAATTCATATACATAATGTATTTTTTTGAAAAAATACTTTTTGGGACTTGCCCTCATTTTCAACATTAGAATCTCTGTTAGTTTTTAGTTAACTACTTTATTTAATTTCAATTTCTATTATTTTGATATTATAGGGTGTTGGAACTGTAGTTTCTGGTACAACTCTGAGAGGGACAATTCGCCTCAATGATACATTAATGCTTGGTCCAGATCCTGTTGGACAGTTTATAGCAATAACTGTAAAAAGTATTCATCGTAAAAGAATGGTTGTTCGAGAAGTTAGAGCTGGACAAACAGCTTCTTTTGCTTTAAAAAAAATAAAACGATCACAAATTCGAAAAGGAATGGTAATGGTATCTCCTAGTCTTAATCCATCAGCTACTTGGGAATTTGATGGTGAAATTCTTGTGTTGCATCATCCAACTACAATAAGTTCTCGTTATCAAGCAATGGGTATTTAATTTTATGTCTACTTATATTAGTTAAACTATATACAAAGTAATAGATTTATCATAATCCATTTGATTACTCATAAAATAAATATAATTATTGAAAAAAAAAATTTGGTTTTATTTAGTTACCTATATTTTTTCATTCATTATCTATTAATTACTTTTTAAAATCATTCCTTATAACTTATAGGGATTTAAATTTTATTTTTTCAAATAGTAATGTACATAATGTACTCGCTTATTTAATAGATAGTGACATATTTTAAAAAAAAAAGGTCAATAACAACTTTTGGTCCAGTACTTCGGAAGTTATTCTCACTTTTATAACTAGGCGGAAAAAATAGTATGGCCAGGAAATAAATAATAATTAAAATTACTTCATCCACTTATCAGCTCCAGTCTTAATTTTAAATTGTTAATAATTTCTGAAATACTGGTTAAAAAGTTGTTATCAACCAGTCATTTTCTGAATTACATTATTAAGAATGTAATTAAGAATTTATTTCATTTATTAAATTAAGTGTTTAATTATGTATGTTGCATTTGAAAAAATAAAGTTGATACCCCCTTAAGTTATAAGGGATGATTCTAAAAAATAATTATTAACTGATAAATAAAAAAATATACAAAACTAAATTTTGACATTTTTTAAACTTATTCCTTAAAACTGACATAATTTTTTGAGAAATGAACAAATTAAAATAATTTTTTTATATTGAAACCTTAGGTAATTTCTTTTTTATTAGATATAAAATTTTCAAAAATTTGATCTTTTACTTGTCCTTAAGGGGGATTCATAATAGCTAATTTTTCACCAAAAGTTAACTTTTTAACTTATAAATCATAGAACTACTAATTAGGTATAATGAAAGAAATAGGAATTAATTTTACTTTTGGAATAATCTACCATTTTTTTAAAATTAAACACTATCTAAAGATTTGCATCAAAGTGTTTCTTATGATGGTGATTTTAATTACTGTTAATTATCATCTATATTTGTCTCAACTATGCCACATCCACAATGTAATATGACCCCACTGTGCTACCATTTTTTTTTTTGTGGCTGTGATTTATTTTTTATTCAATTGCCTTACTAATGTATAATATTGTATTTTTTTTGTGAATAATCAAGTAGTTTATAATATACCAATTACCCTTTATAATTATAAAAAGCAATTATTTTAATTTCTCATTAAATTTATTGTAGTGCACTGTGGAAGTATTCGCCAAACAGCTTCAATTTTAAGTATGTCAGAAGAGTGTTTAAGAACTGGTGACAAAGCAAAAGTTCGATTTAGATTTATCAAATATCCTGAATATTTAAGACCTGGGCAAAGATTAGTATTTAGAGAAGGTAGAACAAAAGCAGTAGGCAATGTTTTATATGTTCCACCCTCTACTGGACAAGTAGGCACAAGGCAGTCACAGAAACCTCAAAAGTCAAATCATCAAGGACAAGGACAGGTAATTTATTGCTTAAAAATATAATATTTTTTAGTAAGATAAGATAAAAGTTTAATGCTAAAAATCTTATATCTCATATCTCTAATCTAAATAAGGCTACAGATTTCATTTTAGCTTCGATGCGAAGCTGAGAAGGTATTGGTTTTACTAAGATGTGTTTTTTTTTTTTTTTTTTTTT